GAAAATCTTATTATAGTATGGTTATACGCAATATGATATTAAGAATGGTTTCAAATGATGATGTATCACAATTCCAATGTTACAAAAATTTCAATATAGTAGTGAAAAGTGGCAAAGTGATAAGAAAAATATAATACATGATAAGCGGGAGAGGATTTTTTCGGTTTGAATGACAGAACAAGAACACTATTGCTCATATAATATTTGATATAGAGTATAAGTAGAATGAATACATGTTGGATATTAGATACATATATTTTTTGTAAAGATAACCCGTGTATATTATATAATTGTAGTCTGCAACTAAACAAACGAATTACTTGAGTGAGGGCATCTGCCCCCAGTGAGCCTTCATTGGCTCCGTCCATGGTTATGTATAAGAGTAAACTCCACATTGTAATAAGTTATATATTTTCTAGGTCTCGTCTTAGTGAAACTTGTCTCCACATAGTAATGATTATCAATAAGTATGAAAATAATATGCAATGTCATAATTTAAAGTTTAAAATGAACTAATATATTTCTCTAAAGTTGTTTTTGCTTTGACTTTTTAGAGTTGATACCACATCTTTGAGTTTGCAGGTACATAATACCTCGTCAACATGGACATCTTTTTGTTGAAGCCAAATATCTCTAACTTCTCAAACATGGTTACAGCTTCTTGGTATGGGAAAAGGATTCTCTCTGGATCCCTTTCACCAAATCCACCCAATCACCTAGGCCAGGCTCTTAAAATTTGATTAAATGGCTAAAGTTATTATACCTTTTAAAGAGACTCCCTGTTTGTAGTTATTGAATCAAATTTTAAGAGTCCGGATTGACTAATTGGATGAATTTAGTGGAAGGGATCCGAGGATCCCTTTCCCTTGGTGTGCTACTTTTGGTACTATTGTTCAAGATTAACTCCTCCTTCTTGTCTGATTGCATTAAAGATTTCTTCTTATGTTAAAAGGAAAACTAATGAAATGAACTTGAAAACTTTGAGTTTTAACCAAAATGATAAAAAAAAAAAAGTGTTGTAAGTAAATAGTACCATAAGTAACTTTTTAAAGTAAAAATGTCCTTAACGTTAAAAGTGAACAGTATCATGAGTGTTTCCTTAAGACTCTCTATGTTAAAAGCATACACAACTTTTTGCATAAAACTCGAATATTTTCAAATTGCATTGGGTGTATTCACTGTATTGTATGTATTTAAGTAATTTGCTTAGAAAGAGAGGTATGAAAGAGAGCATTAAATACATACATGCACTAACTTTAAAATATTAGGTGCCTATCTTTTTCTATTGTTACGTCTTGAAGCCAAAGCACAATGACAACAGTGTCACCAACTCTCAAATTACTAGAGTCATAACAACTGGAGGGCGATTATGAATGAACATTTGGGACATTGAATGCAAACATATAATCTAAATTTTGAGCCAGATATTTTCTTACAATTTTTCCCTTAATTTTACCCGCCCACAAACTCCCCTAATTGACAAAAATATCCAAATATATAGCCCCAGCGATAAACTCTATATTTTCTTTCTGAAGATCCATGCTCACTGTACATGCCTTTTATTTCATGAAGATTCCATCTTTGTTATAAATCTAGGGCTGGGATTTCTCTTCCATACATCTGTGTCAACTTCCCTCCTCTTATGTTATTGACACTACAAAAATCTTATTGTGCACTTCAAACTTTCTATGTTTAAAAAGAAAAATATACTTATGAAAATGCATGATGAGATTTTTAGAGTACCAATAACATTATTGTGGATGCAAATTTCCGTCGTCTCTTCCTTTGACGAAAATGCACTTGTAAAATAATAACACCTAAAATTAAGACCAGAAGCTTCACGCGCCCACGATGAATGGGGGGCTTTAGCCGAAGAATCTCCGATATCAAAGTTAGAATTCTAAAAAGAATATGTTTAGGAGTTTGTGGGTAGCAAAATGGCTTAACATTTTAGAGGGATGATAGAGCTATTTATAGGAGAGTGGCCCTTCCCTTTTGGTGGAGAGTGGACAACCATGTATGGTGTAATTGGGGTGAATAATTGCTAGATATTATGTGAAATAATATATTACAATTAACATGACAGCTATTACTAAATTAAATAGAAAGTTTTGGAAGTTACCTTTTGAATAAAATCAATAAGGGATTGATGAGGAGTGATGAGAGGAATATGAAATAAATTTCATATTGAAAATCTTTGTAGTTGCCTTTTATCTAGAATTTCATCTGAAAATTTATCAGCAAAAGTAATGGCTCGATCAATGGGTAACTTAACCGCTTGTGCATATTATGACCTAAGAATCGAATTTTTGTTTGAAAGAGCTTCATCTTTTTGGCTGAAACAATTAAACCTTCATTCTTCACCACTTTCAAGAAGATATTAATATGTTTGAAGTTTTGTTCCAAAGAGTTAGAATAAACCAAAACATCATCAATGTAAACAATAGTGAAAGTAGTATAAGGATTGAAAATATCATTCATAATATTTTGGAATTCGAGAGGAGCATTTTTCAATCCAAAAGGCATTATGTTCCATTTGTAATGTAATGGCACATCAAATGCAGTTTTATACTTATTCTTTTCAACAATTTGAATATGCCGATAACCATATTTCATATCGAATTTTGAAAATATTACTACTTAATTCAGCATGTCTAACAAATTCTTCTTATTAGGAATGAGATACCTTTTCCACCTAAGAGGTTTATTCAAATGCTTGCAATTTATAACTAATTAGGGAGCTCCTCATTCCAGTTAAGCCACATTCTCCACGTAAAAAGCTGAGCAACTCCACAGCAAGTAGCTCTTACAAATTAGCTTCTTTTCAAGAAGCTCAGTTATTTCATGTTGACATATTTCCATTAACCTATTATTCATCTGAATAGGTCGAACCTTTGTTGGAATCTTCTTTTTATCAAAATCAGGCTCACAAGGGAACTCAACAATGTGCCTTTTACCATCCCAAAAAGTACTAGGAATTTATGCACAAACTTGATTTTCAAATTCTTTTTATATGGACTCAACCTGTTCTTTAACTATTTTAGTAGGAAGTTGTTCTTTAATCCTTTTAAAGTGTATTTCTTCTTTCAAAGAACAAAGGATTTTTTTTTTTTTTTTTTTTTTTTTTTTTTTTTTTGTATGGAGTTAACATACTGTGTCTGGGCCTCTCTAGAGAATTCAAATTTTTCCTTAGCACCTTCAACTTTAGTTTCTATGCCATTTTTAGAAACTTTAAATGGGTACAAAACATGTTAATAAAGGAAGTTTCTAAAATCACATCATGGTTTAGACCTTGTACCGTAACAAAAAAAGTGTTTCAAAATAGAGTTGGATTTTGTTCCCTCCTATTCTCGTCCTCTTCTTTCCCCTCCTCTTACGTATTGTTTTTTGTCTTATTGTCTCTATAAAAAAATCAATATAAGATGTTGACGTGACTAAACCGTAATCGTTCAAATAGAAGGGAAGAGAAGATGAGAGAAATTAGGAGGGGAGGGAAAGGAAAAGAGAATCCTCCTCCCTTCAAAACTTACCTCATCCTGTAGCATCTACATCTGACACTTGTATTGAATACTCATTGGCTGGTCAGTTGCATTTCGAAGATCATGTACGGTTAAGGTCTGCTTCAGAATCAATCAGTGTTTCAACTTCGCCCAACTTCTCCCAAGTCTAAACTTCGGCAACTACCACATCGTACCTCTCTCTCGACCACACCACAGGCAAACCACACGCACACGGACACACCTGTTACAGTCTCTTTTTGGTTCTCTCTCTGATTCTCTCTCTCTCTCGAGCAACTCTCAAGCCCCAAATCGAGGTATTTATTTCGAATTATTTTCGAAATCTAGGGTTTTGCTTTGAATTATTTGGATTTGTCAGTTTGAATCAATTAATCTTTTCGGAGGAGGAAGGAAGCAACCTTATATGTATGAACCTCTCTGTGAAAGGAGGGGAACACCCCCTGCTTTGTAATTGATCTATTTGCCGAATGTACCAAAATACCAAAAATTATTCGGAATCCCAAAGGTAGTTGAGACGTGCATCAGCATTAACAGAAACCAAACAGGAACCTGAGGCATTACAATTGCTCGTGATTGTTCTATGGTCTTATGAAGTGTACTTTATAGACATTATCTAGGTTTACAAGGAAAGAGTGAGAGAGCAATTGGATTATATTCCCAACATGTGAAAGTTTTTTGCTGCATATTTTTACTTGTATGGTTGTTCATCGTTGTTGTTTGTAGGTTTATAAGTGATTTCATGCACGATGTGGTGATGATTGAGAGGGCAATAGTTATTTTACTATCAACATAGAAAAGTTATTTTTGCATGTTTACATGGATAGCTACCAGTCGTTAATGTTTGTGGGTTTATTAAGTGATTGCATGCACCAGTATGACGTGATGAGTGAGAACAATAGTGATTATATTATATGCCCAAGAAAGTTTTTTCTTTCCAACACTACATGGATGGTTATCAGTCGTCAATGTACGTGAACTTATTAAGTGATTTGCATGCACGACGGTAAAATTCCTCAAGTAAGATTAGCATTGATGCTATTGTATGTCCGTTCAGGCTTCAGACATGAAAACCCTCCTCTAGTTAGACATTCAAAAGAATAAAAAGACTCCAGGCCACAGATTGATATATGGAGTCCACCGTGGAAACCCAACAAAGGATACTCAATACTCAATGTCTTTACCCAAAACAAAAAGAGAACTTTATCGAAAAACTTCCGGTACTGTTTACTTTAACAAAAAATCATATTTTTACACTAAAAAATCAATCTTAATACTATTCACTTTACATTTTATTTTATCCTTATCGTTAAAACTCAAAGTTTTCAAACCATTTTCATTAGTTTTCGAATACTCAATGCCCGGTTAGACTTGTCCTTGTAATACGAAGAGTTCAAATCCCCTTCCTCGTGGTTAGATTTGTTTAAAACAAAGAGCTAGATCATTTTTAGTTAGTTTCTAACACGGAAGCATAAGTTTTCGAGAAACAGGTAAAAATATAATTGTAATAGCTGCGAAAAGATAATACAGTCCTTCAGTCCAGGCCTATAGGCAGTCGGTATAAGCAATTAGACACCTATGACAGCATTTCTGAAGAGAAACATACGAGATCAAAAGAAAAGAGACAACAGAAAACAGAAATTCGGACCTCACACGTCCGCAATGAACATGTATAACACATATTTCTCACCGACCATTAGGCTCGGCAATCTTTGGTCTGCCTCCCATCTGCTCGAGAAACTTGGAGAGACGCGAATGCTTTGCCGCCCATTGCTCAGCCAACTTCTGCTCCTTCGCTTCTGCATCTCTCCTTAGCCCTGCTAATTGTTCCCTGTATTCTGCTTCGATCCTGTCAAGAGCAGCGTTTTGCTCTTCCCTTAGAGCCTTTACCTTCGCCTCAATCTCTTCCATCTTCTCCCTCCTCCGACTAGCCTTCTCTGAATCCAGTTGCAACTCCACCCTTCTTAACCTCCACGATGCTTCCTTCTTATGCGCTGCCCAAGCACGGTGCACTTCTTCCAACTCTCTGGAGCACTCCACCAACTCGGATATCACTAGGTTCTCCCCAGAAGCAGGAACTACCCCATGATGTGGCAAATTTCCCAAAGCAAAACTACTATCTGATCCTCTATCCTGCTGCAGCCAAGGGATTGGAGGAGAGGGTGCCACTGCCGAGGACAGACTCAGGGTAACAGAAGGAGATGGTGGCCTCACATTGGAGGACACATTGGAATTAGAAAGCCAAGGAGGAAGAATCGTTGGTGCTGGAGAAGACGTTTCAGTATGAAGATACGCACCATTTGAAGTACCCATGAGATAGGTTGGGCCAGCACGCTCCTTCACTAACTTCTCAGCAAAAGTTTCAAGAATTCTATCGTATTTACCCTCCACAATCGGGTCAGCTGTCTTGTTATTCTTCTGTTCTCTCTGCTGCTTCTCTTTGAACACTTCCCACCACTTGCCCAATCTCTTAGCCGTACGACCAGGGACTTCAGCAGCAATTTTCTTCCACTTATTTCCGTGTTTGGCTTGAAGACAAATGACAAGGCGTTGCTCCTCTTCCGTTAGGGATCCTTTCTTAATGCCAGGTTTGAGATAGTTCTTCCACCTTTCTAAGCAAGATTTGGCATCCCTGTCTAGGGTTGTGTTCATGCGCTGTGATACAAGGTTCCACTCCCTTGGCCCATATTGCTTCACATATGCACTTAACAAAGCGTCCTCTTCAGCACTCCAACGTTGTCTCTCCTTCATTTCCAGGAGCAAGTATAACTGTCCATTGCCTCAAACCGAAACTCCTCATAATGTATCTGGAATCAAGAAGTCACTATATTAGTCCATCTTCTACTGTCATGCAATCATACGTTAACGTCCAAAACGAAATTAACATCTGGATAGGAAGAAACTAAAATGGCTAATGTTATGAAACATAAGAAGCAGATACGCCAACCAGCTGATAGAAATAACGAGGCTAATGTCTGCGTCAAACAATCAATTTTCTTTAAAGGAATGAAATTGCAGCAGCAAAGGAAACTCCGTAAATTCCTAGTGCCTTCACCAGCCATTCAACCGCTAATAGCCAAATACAGAGACGGCAAAATATTAAAAAGACGAGCATTCTCATTGGAGTTCAACGGTTGAAACATCAGCAAAATAACAAACTGAGAGTTACTGATGGATTTAACTAGCATTATATTAGAGTTTCGAATCGCCGAAGCTGGTGAAATATATTACAGTTGGTATTCAACGAACACAATTTTCCATTTCTTCGGCCACATCATTAAACTTAGAGAGCAGATCAGGTCTGACATGTGTATCAAAAGAAATCCTTTCCTTACAAACTTATTAACTTGTAGACAGGAAAAGGGACAATGACAAACTATAACATGATATATTTCACATATGTAAGAAGATGAATAAGTCAATTATTTTCATATTTACAATTTATAGTGCACTTATAACCGGTGATTTAATATACAGGAAATGTACGATAAAAAACAGGGTGATGCTAGACTAAAGAGATCATCATTTTAGATCATATTTTATAGACCAAATAATATGACGTTTAGTGGTTGGATTCCTCCTTTAAATCATTAAAAATGAAATTCATATATCAACTGTCACATCATGTGATTTACAAAATATGATCTAAAATTATGATCTCAATCCCTAACATTTTCCTAACAAACAATAAGCACAGAGACACACAATTGATTAAAAACAAGGTGAAAAACGAAAACTGGTCTCACTAACAAGCAATGCTCAAAAGTTGATCCTAGGGTTCCGAAATCAAATCAAGAAACCCAATTGCTCACAAAACAAGGTGACAAATGAAAACTGATATTCACGTTTGGGCAGCGAATAGACGTTTTTAGCTATCCAATGTTGATGTTAGGGTAGTTTATTTATTCTTTCCAAAATTCCAACAACTAAAAACACTAAAAAATGAGAGAAATTTTTCAGTATGACCGTCACACAAGATAATACATCACGTGTCGTTATATAAATCGTGAAATGTGTGTTATAAAATTAATAATTAAAAAAATAAAATTTCTTATCACTAACATAAAAACACGTAATGTACCAGGTATACTCTCGTACCACCAGTTCTTTCATTACAACTAAAAATTTCTCCAAAAGTGACACGACGCTTTTGAGTGTCAATGATCAACCAATTAAGAAGTCGAACAACCCCTATGGCTTATGGTACGGGAATAACCCAATTGATTTTTCTTTTTCTTTTCTGTTTCGAAGTTCAGATTCATAAAATGGGTTAAATTCACATCTAAGCCCAGGAATATATCAGACTTCAAAGAAAAACGCTCCAAAATTAATAGACTTTATGATGGGAGAATGACACCGAATGAACTTCTAGAGCATCACAAGAGAATAGCGTTTTAGTTTAAAACTTATAATTATCGAGTGTTTTTTTTTTTTCCTAATTTACCATCATGAAAATTTAATCAGTAAATATGATAAAATTTACCACACATATACTTTCCTACCCCCATCAATTTCATCAACATATCATACTAAAAGAATTAATATAAAAAATGAGATAACACACTTAAAAATCAGTAAATTCCAATCATCAACCAAACCATGCAAAACAATTGGCACTGAATCACTCTATTACAGCAAAGTTTCGTGAAAAGAAAACCAGCAAAACAATTAAAAAGCACTTCTTTCAGTTTTAAATAAAATAGAGACTGTAATTGCAGATAAAACTAAGAAGAACCCAATATCTTGTTTCGGTAAAAGATAATGATTTTCCTCAGAACCCCACAAACCGAATTGCAGAGTCAAAACTTTTATGCTATAAAGTACAGAACTTTTTGCAAAATTATATGAAATCCGGAAATTAGGAGGATGAAAGAGAGAGAGAGAGAGAGTTACATTTCTGCTTAAGTGCACGACGGAACCACACTTCGTCTACTACGACGCATCCCCGCCTAGACTGATAACAGTGAGAATTGGGATGATGATAAAATAGAGAAAGACGTGATCTTTCTGTGTTCTTGAAACAGACAGAGAAAAGGGTGAGAGAGAGAGCTCAAACTCCAAAAACAACCCTAGAGAGAGAAAAAAATCCCGGGCTAGAGAGAGAAGTGAAGAAAACGGACAGAAGAGACGAGACTTATATGTTGACACAGAGAGAGAGAGAGAGAGAGAGAGATGGGATGAGACGGAACGAAGAGGAAGGGAGAAATCTGACAGAGAGCGTAAAAGGAGGGCACGCGAATGGAGAGCCAAGGAGGCAAATACAGCCGATGACGTCGTTTTTATTTTTATTAGGAGGAATTTAATTGAACTAAAATCAAAGAAATAAATTAAATTAAACTAAAAAAACATCGAAAAGGAAAAGATTTATGCTGCTGTGTTTGTTTTGAGCTCCACCAACACCGTCGGCAGCCTCAAATGACAGTTCAAAAAAAGCTGCTGGGCTACTACTGCTGCTGTGTCGAGAGAGAGAAAGAAACAAAGAGAGGAGAGAGAGAGAGAGAGAGAATGTGAGTGATTGGTGGATGAATAATAATGTAGTAGGCAGAGGGAGACGCGTACGCGCTCGATTTCAGCGCTTATATTGCGCCCCCCACCGCATGTAGTGTTTTGCGGGAGTAATATAAGAACATGATGATTAGGTTTAGGGTTAGCATTTCCTCTTCTCTTCCAACTAACTATACCATACCAGTACCTGCAATTACGCATCATATCATTCATGTGTCATGCAAATGTTCCTGCGTTAATTTTTTTTATTTACTTATAATAACATAATTCACACTAACTTCTTTTAATTATAAAAATAAAAATTTAAATATGATTGCAAATAATACATTGTTATAGATAATTTTTTAAGAATAAGTACAATATTCATTGATGAAAAGAAAGACGTACAAAGCACGAAGAAAATAGCATGCATAATTAGGCTTCAATATTGATCGATTTAGCTTATTTTACTTTCTTGCGTTAACACTCAAGCGGCATTTGGGATGTTCTCCAGCAACATAATATCTTTACTTTATTTTGATTCATTTAATGTTTGCCAAACAAATAATAATTATATAAAATATCATTACACTACATTACATGGATGTTGAATTATGGAGACAGACACACACAACAACAACTAGGGCCGCAGTTGGTGAGTGAATCAATGGCACTGGCACCTTGGGCCCTTTTTGGTCTATGAGTGGTTTGCTAAGGACATCTCTCTTAAAAGTGAAAATATCTACGAATTCTCTGTCATTTTAAAATTTAATTTCAATTTTCGTGCTAATATTATAAAATATGGAAAAGAAACCTCTCCAGATCAAATATATCCCTATCCAGAAGATCAAAAAGTCCTAATCGTTTAAAATAGATCTTATGGTAAGAAATTTTTTTTACTTCTTCACGCACAACACTCACGTCCCATAATTCTCTCCTCTTCTCGCTTGCTGTAGTTCCGAGTAAGAGGATTGCCACCATCGACCAAGTACGCAGCAACAAGGAGTTCGGACTAGAATTTGAGATCGGCCATTGAGACCGAAACTTCAACATTATGTATAGTATTAAGGTGATTCAGCATATCTCTATAGTGCACAATGACTACACTATTCCACGTAACTCATGTTCATTTGTGCGAATTAAACAGAAATGTTTTTTTTTTATTTTCAAGTGACCAAAGAATGTTTACGGGTACCTATAAATGAGAGTATCTTTAATGTTTTAATCTCAACATTTATTTTCAATTATGCTTGTTTTATTTAATTTTTTTGTTTTGTAATGCAATTAAGAGCACCCGTGCTTGCTGCATATCTGACCGTCCGTTCAAGATATCAAGAACGAGTTGATAGAAAATCCTCAGATTCCAAATCCATTGACATCAGGATCCTCCCAGAAGAGACAGGGCTATAGCTAGGGTTGTTTTGTTGCTTCTACTTCTGCACATTTATCTCACACCGTATTAATTAGCACCCTCACCCTACGAACCCATCTCATCACGATAACGACAAAGACTTATGGTACGATACTCTGTTACTGTAGCTTTTTTTGCTAATCATATAACTTAATGTGTAAGTTTTTTTAGGTAAAGCATTATATCATTCACGCCGGTCTTGGAGGTGACGAGAATATAGATACAAATTTTCGTCTTTTTCTTTTTAGATAAAATTACACTTATAAAACGTTTAATATTTTTTATCAAAGTTAAGAGCTTCACGCGTTTACGATGAATGCGGGGTTTTCGCAGAAAAACCTCTAATGTCAAAGTTAGAATTTAAAAAGAGTGTTGAACTTAGAATTTTTTTTTGGAGAAAATGGGGTGGTATTTATAGGCTGTGGTCGTACTCTTTGGGAGAGATGGGAACCAGCCACTTTAGTGGTTTTTTTGGGTGTGATTCATAATTCATTAGTTAATTAATGAATTAATTGAGTAATAAATCAATTAATTAGCTCATTAGTATAATTTGAAAGAAATAATTTGAGAGTTACCTTGTGAGGAAGATTTGATGAGAATGGATAAAATAGGTTTTGAATAATTACCTATTTGATCACTTTTGACATTGATTGAATTGTGATTGTTCGATGTTTGCGCGTAAAAGCTTCGATATGCCTCAAGGGTAATTTTGTCTTTTTACCCAAGAGTCAAAGTGTCGCCTCCATAATTTTCTTGACTATTTTTTACTCCATAGAGAGTGTATCTTGTGTATAGTTTTTCATTTTCAATGATTCATATATGAGATATATTTACGGTCACCGTCATGTTTCAATTCAATAATGTAAGGTCATTTTTAACTAAAAAAATTAAATATAATCATGTCTAGAGTTATAATTTTACAAAATATTATTATTAAATAAACAATATCATATCATATTCATATACTATCTCCATTTGATAGGGACTAAACATAGACCTCTCAATAATTTTTTAGTTTTAAGTTTATATTTTAAATTTATTAGTTAATTTAATTAAATTACAATTGAAAATTGAAAATCTAGACGTTCAATTTGGATTAATTATTATAAGTGAGGGGCTTAGCTTCAAAAAAAAAAGATTAAGAGAGGGCTCTATAGAACTATAGCCCGCCCATTTGTTAAAAATAAATTTTTAGACAAATTAGATCATTTTTTTACTTTTAAACCTTTAGCCCACTGCATCGAATCTCCATTAGACATAACCTAATATTACGTATAAGATCTCTCAACGTCGCGGGCCAATCAACTTGTCCTATTCCTAAAAATATTTAACCATAGTCGATTAAATCGGTTTGCAGTATTCACTATGAAAATGAAGAAACAATAAAATATATGTCGTTCCAATATTTATATTATAATATATAATGTATCGGCGTGTATTATGAATAAATAGAAAAATCTATGCTAGGGTAAGATGAGTGAGGATTTTCATCGAATTCTCTTTGTGAGGATTCTAGGAACTTTCAAATTATATCTGTTTATCATATATATTTCGATCGGATATTTTTATAAATTTTTTATTTAAAATTGAATATAAATAGTATCTAATAGAAAAAGATTCTGATAAAATGAATCTGGCTGCAAACCTCTCTCGGGTAAGACTGCTAACATCACGTGTCTGGTGATGAATTTATAAACCCTAGTGATGATTAGAAGAGAGTAGAGTAGAGCAGGAGTAGTTGTGTAGGCAGGCGTAGCAGGGGATCAAATATCAAAGAGGGAAATGCCATCATGAGGAGGTGTGATGGGACCCAGTGGGGATGTGGAGGGGACTGTAGTCCGGGTTTCGCGGCACAAGGAGACGAATGTGATGGAGACTCGACCTTCTGCTCCGCTCAGAAACCCCGCTCAGATGTCAGTGATGCGTCCCACGCCCATTTTTCTCCCCCTTTTTCTTAAAAATTATAAATTTTAAACGCTCTCTCTTCTCTATTTATATTTTCGTCCTCAGAGCTTGTTTTCTGTTTGCATTGTGATCCTTATAGTTTTGTTTTGTCTGCATTATTCGTTGTCCAATATGTCAAATTGAACGAACCGTGTGTTCATCATGGGTATCACGTTACTTGCGCTCCCAGACACGAAATTAAATCGTATCCAGTCTCCATAGTGAAATCCATCGTTAACTACTTTAATTAATTTCGGTACAAGTGATAGGCTTATTTTGTACAAGCAACGAGTGACGTGGTTCTTTGAGTAAATAAAAGAATGACGGAGAAAAAATGACAAATCAAGATAGGGCTAAATCTAACTGTCCAAGACTAATGAAGTGACTCAACTAATGATCCCACCCTCTATTAGCCGATGTGTGTGAGCTTTATTCCTTACAGCTTTACACCGCCGCTGCCAACTTTCATTTTGTCAAATGAGGTAAAATCTCTTTATACAAACTTAGCGTTGCTTGATAATTGATTTCGTTTCTAACTTTCAGTTTTACTTTTTAGTTTTAGAAAATAAAATTTAAAAATTAAAAGGAAAAGTTTAAAAAGTTAAATGGGTGACCTCCACTTATTGGTTGTCAATTTTCATTATTTACAAACCAAACAAATCTTTAGTTGAGCCATATGAAAGCATAACGAAACTACAGAGATGAAATGGAAACAAAAAAGTGACAAGAACCAAAGTGAAAACTCAAACAAACTAGAGGGCCTCCAACTGCAATACATGTCCTTTGGTTTATTTACTGCATTATCTACCTCAGCTGCAGTAATACAGTGCGGGGTGGTGGTGGTGGTGGGGATCTTTTGTTTTGGGGGTGACAGCGGCAGTGAGTAAAAACCCAACAGGCCACCACTTTCCACTTCCCCCTAACAAGCAATGATATCACCACTGGCAGTCTGGCATGCCAGCCACGGCTGAGCTGCTACTACCATCTCAATTCTCACATTCTTTCTTTTCTAAATCTGCCCCTCCCACCAACCCACTATTTACTCAACTTACCATTTCTCACATCTCAGATTCCTTTGCCTTACTATTATTTCTTGGGTCCTATAAAAATCATCTCCGTCTTTTCTGTATACGAATCCAAAACCCTAATACGGGCAACACTCTTTTTTCTCACTGCTTGTTCACTTCGAATTTTATACTAGGATATATAGATTAGGAAAATCACATATCAATTAGTCAAAAAGAGACCGTTTCATTACGCTCCTACATCGATTGCATGGAGTTTTTAGGCAATAGTTGACAATTAGGGCTACATTTCCGTCATCTAAGGTTCATCATAAGGATGGTGCCCATTCATAGAGCGGAAATTTTGGATTAAACTGGTTCGTAACATGTATATCGAGTGAATGAATGACTAAATGTTCAGTAAAAGATTAATGATTAAAGATCCGTCCTCTTGATACATGATATATTCGTGTTCATACGAAAAATCTCTACGTAGACAAGGATTTTTACGACTACTCAAAAAAGTGTAACGATTAGAAACGAAATTACGCACCTTTTCTTTTAGTACTTTTTGATCCCTTTGGGAGATTTGGGATGATTAAAGTTTTACTGTGCAGACACATATAACTTGGGAGAGAACACTGTTGCAGAAAGTCACTGCTTTTTCTTTATCGTTTTGCTTGGTGGGAGTGTACTGAGGTTAGAGCAGAAGGTTTGGGTTGCTCGGCTTTGATGAGAGAC